GGAAAGTTGTTCCTGTCACTCCCCCAGCAAGATAGAAACCTCCAACGTCGTACTGCCAGAACCAAACCAATTGTCTCCGAAGAGCTGTGCCCACTTCACCAACCCACGCACAAATCACCGGCTACCAAATTAGCCTTTTCTAATCCTCACCTGACGCGATTCGATGCTCTGCTCTGTGACATGCATAACCTTGGCTCTGCACTCGACAGTCATCAACAGCTCCAATGCTGGCTGCAGTCCATTCTAGCCCCCCTCCCCTCTCTTCCCCCCTGCAACCCCCTCCAGAAAGAACTTCGACGATACCCCAATTGCGCCGCCTTCATTGGCTCGGTCCACGCCGTCGTGGTTTTACCTCTCCAGCTCGCCACAAGCTCTCGAAAAGCCGCACATCTTACCTATCTGACTTTACCCGTTCGCTTTTACCGTTGCCTCTAATTCCTATCTCCTTCGCTTGCTCCCTCCCCAGCTACCCTCCTCATCGAAGCTCATTTCCTCCCCCCCCTCCACCACGAGTGAAATTCCTGGTCGTAGCCCCATGCATAATGGGAAAGGGAGGTCTCCAACTAACCCAACCTACGCCCCCCCATCTGCACCTCCTCCTGGCTGCCAATCACACTCTCCCGCCGCCTGCCCTTCGAGGCCTCCTCCACCCCCTCATCGACCCCTCCGTCACGCCCAGCCAGCCCCTTGGGATCAGCTCTGTCGTGAAACCACATTCCCCCCTCCTGCCCTTTCTCTCGCCCCAAGGACCAAGCCACCGCACGTCTGCCTGTGGGTGCAGGCAAGGTCGAAATGCATTGATCGACCCTTCTTTCAAGACCGCCTCTTGCCAACAGGGAATCCCTTCCTCCCAGGCGACACAGGAAGCAAAAGTAGCGGAGGGGGGATGGGAGGGGTGTGGCGCCGTCCAACGACAGTCAATAGAATAGCCAGAAACCTCCCCATCTGGTTGGGTAGGCGAGCTGCGTTTTCTTTTCTTTCCTTTTTCCTTTTGCTCTCTCTCGTAGTGGCCATTCATTGCGTCTTCTCCACCTCCATTCCCGACACACACCCCCTCCCCTTTCCTTTCTTTTCTTTACGATCTCGTTCGATTCGACCCTCTCATCTGCACACGAGGACGTCCCTGATGTACGCAGGGCATGGGCGGTATTCGGGGAGGGGTCTCTTGGGTGCGGACCCGAACGCTGCATCATCGTCATCAGCGGGGTTGAGTTGCTAGGTAGGGATATATGCATGCTCTATTGTTCCATACAAAGCTACCTGTGTTGGTATCCATCTATGTAAAAAAAATTAAGAAGAACCTGTCCCATCGCCACCGGTAGGGACAGACCTTCATCAGGGAGGGGGGGTCCGGATTACTGTATTGTCGTGCATCGCTTTCCGGCGCCCACGACTCTCTCCAGCCGAGCTGCCTTCTGCATTCCCCTTTGCGATCGGGTCGCACATGGACGGCCGAGGTCTGACGTCTGTGCCTAGTACATCATCCGATTCCTGCCTTCCAAGACCTGGTACAATGAATGAAAAATAAGAAACAAGAGATGGCTGCTACCTCATCTCGCCTAGCGCATATCCCAATAATGCTAATCGTCTCCCGTGGCTTTGTATCGTACCATGCTTCTTCGTCCGTCATATCATCATTAATAAAGAAAGAGGAGGCACGTCGGTCCATCCGTGTCGCACCGAGCGCTGTGGTGGACTCCCCATTTGTTCATCCTTGCAGTGGTAGTTGACGTACTACCGTTGCCACGAAAACTCGTGTAAGTGGTTCTGTCTGCGAGTCGTTGCAAAGACAGATGCGCTTATGTGAGATCGCTTCTAGGAGAGGAAGGCCTGAGTCGTTAGGTAGGTGGAGCAGCCAGGCCTTGAGGTAGGCGATTGCCGCCTTTTGATTTTCTCCTTACAGCAAAAATAAGTTCCGATACCACCATGACGTAGCTAGCTCCTCGTGCCCATTCTTTCTTCAGGTTGGCTTGGATTTCTTGCCTTTGGTTGTAGGTCGACCAAATGCGTCTCGCTGTCTCATTGCCATCATGTGCTGCATCTCGTCGTCGCCACCTCCGTGATCTATCACACGGAACCCATCTCCATCTACGAATACGGCAGTGAACATCTCCGAAATCGATGTCGCAAGACCCTGGAGGGCGGCGATACGCTCGATGTCCGCCTCGGATGTGATCTCGAGGATGCCTAGCTGCTGGTTGATGCGGCCCTTGATCCTGCCTTCCACGATGAGGAACCCGACAATGTCCTGCACCTCGGGCTCGGAGATTCTGAGCTGCTTTGCAAGCCAGGACAGCTTCATTCTCGTGTATGGGGCAATGAGCTTGACGATGCCCTTGGTTCGCATGTTCCGCGTCACCTCGTCGATGTTCTCGGCGATGAATGGATCTGACAAGAGATCAGGGTTCTTCTGCAGCGTCCTCTCGTAGCCGTGCACATCGTCGCGCTGGTACGCGTCCACCAACTCTGTCATGGCAGAGATTCGAGGGTCATTTCTGTATGGCTTGGTCTCTTGCGAGTCAAACGGATTGATGTTGGACTTCATCAGCATGGTGGTGAGCAGAAGATACTTCAACACCTGAATACGTTGCAGTGAGCCAGCCTCATCGTAGTTGCGGAACGACTCGAAGAAGTCGCTCTGAGCCTCGTCCCAGTTCTCCTCGCTCATGTGCATCTTTCCACCACACTCTCGAATGATACCCATGATACGCGGATGTGGGACTGCCGATTTGACTTGCAGAGCGCGCTGGTACAGCGTCTTGAGCTGTTTGTTGTTCTTGGTTTCCGCTAACATCTGGATCTCCAGGGCGTATATCTCCAGCGAGTATGTGCCTTTGCTGGGATCATCACTCCCGTCCTCCATCTGACAGGCCTTATGCAGCTCCCGCAACTTCTTCGTGATGGCAGAGTAATCCTTGCGATCAAGAAGAAGCTTGGCAAGCTTGACATTTGTCTTGAGCCAGAGTCGCTCGTTGTTGGTGCTCTGGAAGCTCTCGAGGGTCGAGGAGTAGAATCTTTCCACGCATCGTACCGCCTCAGGGCTCTCTGCACCCTTCTCGATGTAGTCCAGGATGTTGTTGATGGACTTTTCTGAGTAGTTCCGTGTAACAGCAGACTTGACGTACGTGAGCAGCTGCTCGTAGTGTTCGGATGCCTAGCCATGGTAGAGGGGAAGATTAGCAACGATTCTCGATGAGAACAAGGTGTTCAGCGTTGGGGACTCGGTTTGACTGACCTTGTCGTATTGCGCGAGTTTGAACTCCAGCTTGATGGCCTGTTTCAATCCTTTGAATCCCCATTCTGACTTCTCCTCTTCAAGAGGCGGGATGCCCAGGAACTCGGCAATGGCATCTTCGGGATCGGTCGTCTTCAGCTGCTTCGCATTGTAGTACTTATTCTCGATATCGACATCGGCGGACTCGTCTTCGTCATCTTCCTCGTACTCGAAGTCATATCTTAGAAAGGTTAACTAGGCTGCCGCAAGGTACGACGCATTCACGGGCAACGAAGCTTACTGCTCCTCGTCGGACTCCTGCATGAAATCCTCGTCGTCAGACATGATGGGAATTGGCCGTGGGGATTAAAATGAGAAAAATAAATAAGCTTTTGAATAATTATTGCAAGAGACCTCTTTGGACGGAGAGGCAATGAGTAGAGGCCAAAAACGAACCCCGGACTGCGAAGAAACGTGGAGCTGGTGGTGATATGGAACTCGAAGAGCTGAAGGTGGGGGTGTTGCCTAACTCCCGTTGCCAGCAACAAAGCTGAGGTAATGACCTGGCGGGATTTTGATTTTCCCGGCCGCATTTTCCAGCTACCCTACAGCGATTTCCCTTGCCTCCCACGTCGTAGTCAAGGAATCCTCGAGTTCCTGATTTTGTATAAATTCATGTGATTTACAAATAGTCTTTGTGAGAATAGCCGGAGAATAGATATTTGACGATGAATGGATTAGGATTTTATCTAGTCTTGGATCGTAAAGCAGAGACTTAGTTTGTGTAGATACAAACAATTTCATGATCGACGTAAAGAAGTTGTGCAGATGATTTATGAATTTTAAGACCAAATGTCTGAGATAAAATCGATCAGATACTCAAGGTGCAAATATTACGGACAGTTTGATCTGTAGTAAATATCAGGTATTTCCAAATAATTGCTTGATCATACTCAAGCCAATAAACACTCTGGAGGATCGGATCGACTGATTCACGCCAGGAGAGTGTTATGATGAAAATTGGAAAGTTCATCAAAACCATCGTCGCCTTTCCCCCCTCACATTGGACGATCATTACCAAGGTGTACGATTCTGAATGTTTCTTGCGTAAAAGAAAACCGTTGGCATGATTGCGCCAATTTACTTTATTCACCCTTCTGTTTCATACACCAAATCGCCCTGGTAGCTGGCCGAGGATTAAATACTAGGCCACGCTTAATATTTTCCTATCACCTAGCATTGGAATTCTCTCTCAGACCGGTCTTTTTGTTCTATATATAGGTACCGGCAGAATGACAGCCTTTCGGTGGCCCCTCAAATATTGCCGCCTATGGTGTGTTGAATACTCCCCAGATTTGAGAACCAAATGTAAGGAATACATTTCCAGCTATTGACCAATGCCAATAAGCACTAAGTAATCAAAAAGTCAACGTAAAGCAGGCAGTAACTGGATAATTCCACCTGCTGGCCTGGACCGAACTGTGCTGTCATACATCGGGCTCAATGTTTGCAGTATGTGCGAACAGCTGGCGACGGTTGCTCGCATACGCGTCAGTCCAATCTAAACAACGCGGTGCAAGCAAACTGGAACCAACTTCTTGTTTTCTTCACTTTAATCTCGCTCTTCTTCTCTTCGCTCCCATTCAATTTCACCTCGCTCAGCCTTCCTGTTTTCGTCGTCCTCAGCAACAACATCGGTTTCTTTGCTCTCAGCCTCGCATTTCTCAAGTCTTCACGCCAGATTGTGCACATTGAGCACCACACTCGTTTCAGAACCTCGTTCAAAATGCTGCCAAGCGCTCTAGTTAGCGTCTACCAGCAGTACAAGGCTGATACCGACGCGATCGCTGGATGGCTTGCTTTGACAGCCAAAGCAGCCAACTATCCCGGCCAGCTGTTGTCTCCTCCAGCCACGTCCACTGGTCGATTGAAGGGAAAAGCCAGGGCGCTGGCCAAAGAACAGGCCTTGAAGCCCAAGAAAGCATTTTTGCCCATCAAACTTTTCGTTCCTCTTGCTAAATACATTACGTCGCTCAAAGCGCCTCGAGTTCGCGTCCCCCAATCTGTCATCAACATCACGGAAAGAGTCATTCGTCAGAGATCAGTTTTCAGTTCTCGACTCAGCCACCATGGGGCCAATCCTACCGTTGAAGACGATCGGTCGCACTCTTATTTTGTCGATATTCTCCGGCAGGTTGTTCACCTTTTCCGCCAAAACGTTGTGCCGCCGCCCACTACCTCGACTGAGAACATAAACGATGTCGAATTTGAAAACCGGTTTGCGTCTCTCCATGTGGAAGAGCCATCACAAGAGTTCCTTAATGCGAAAATTGTTCAGCAGCCTACTACAGAGAACAATATTGTCTATGAAGCGGAGCCACAGACCGATTTGGATGACGCCATTGCGGCGTATGGAATGTTACTACAGGACCTCAACAAGATCCGTGACGAGATCAAGCAGATCTGGCTGAGCTGTGCCGAGGGCTCCATCGAACTAACAGCGGCCGCCCTTGCGACCAATACCGGCGTTGACCTTGCCAGATACTTGATTGATCAAGTACTTCCCATCTTTCAACTGCATGGGGGCGTTGGTGAAGTTGCCGAGGCATTCGCCCTGCAGTTCATACAGGAGCAAGACTTGAATAATAGTGACTTGACGCCTGAGGAAATTGACGAGGTTGTTGATGATAAGATGTTTGTTGTCAATGACTTCATGAAAAGATTCGCGAGCTGTCGAGATTGCGCCCACAGACACAATGAGCCTTGGAACCCTACTCCACAAGCCATCCAGGACCTGCTGGATAAGATTGAGGACGAAGTTGAGGCGGATAATCAGCTTCTAGGAGAGCTCATCAACAACTTGCTCGCTGTAAGTTGGCTGGCCAAGGAATACTTGAAGGTGGATGAAATAATGAGTGGCCTGGATGCGATGGACACGACAAAGACGGCTCCATTCTATGTATGCTTTGCATTGCAAGTGACGCTCGACATTCACCACACTCTCGGCGATTGGTGCCTCGAGCCCGCGAAGCAGCTTGATAACGAACTCAACTTCATGATCGAGTCTATTGACGAGTTCTACAAAGGCGCAGCCAATATGAATGGGAGGGCCGGAAAGACTTGTAATTGCCTCAGGAACTTTCAACAGGAGATCAAGGATTTCCAGACTGATCCGACTATTGACGTCAGAAAGGAGTTCTACAATTGTATGAACTACAATTGCGAGCCTTCTGAAGAGAGACATAGAAGCATGCAGTTATCCCCAGTCCTCTGTGGACTGACGATTTTCTACTTCCGCGCCTCGATGCACGATTTCGGCTTCATCGAGTTCGCGCGCAACCGCACCATTCAGCACGCCGTTCATCTGTACAACGCTCTCGTGAAGGAAGACCTGATAGAAACCCCCTGGAGCGACATGCAGCTGGCCGAGAACTTCTTTGGGCGATCGAACATCTTTGCAGGGCAGAAGCCCGCGAGTACGAGAGGTTACCTCAAGCAAATTATGCTCCAAGCGGGAATGACCGTCAGAGGACTGAACGAGCTGTTCGGTGCGCTAGATGGCCACTCTACTTCTTGCGAGGGGCCAAGAACACGTGGATTCCGACACAAGATGAAGGCTGTGAGCCGTGGTGCTCCTGTATCTGCTATTTTTATTGACCGATACTACAATCAATCCAACAGAATTGATTACCGGCCCGAGGATGTCAATGAGATCATCTCGCGCCGCCGTTGTGACGAGGCACCGCTATCCCCGAACAAAAGTGGTCAACACTCACCTCATCTACTTCTTCAACCACTCGCTGAAGCACTCACTGAAGAAAGTCTTGAGGTGGCTTTCCCTAGGTTGTTGATGCACAAGGTGTGTGGCGAGTTTTTAACCAATGTCAAGAATCAGTGTGCCGGAACTATAAAGGAAGTGTCTGGCGAGAAGGCGACATCGCGGGACATAGTCTTGTTGATCTTTTCTGCACTCGTCGGTGACCAAGTTTTAGGGAAAGAGTTGCTCTCTAAGGCTGCTATGATTGCCAATGATACCGTTGCTTCTGGATCCGGTAAGAGACTTGTCGATGTGATGGAGACGGAATTTGAATTCTCCAGGGAGCAGTTGGAGGAAGTTTGCTCCAAGTCAAAGTTAGCAGAGGATTTCTAAGGACAGGGTCAAGGGCCTATTTCTTTATGTTTGCTTTTCAACATGTAGCAAGCAAGAGATTGAGCCTATGTAGGCATTTCTAGGTTTAATTGTTAGACTAAATGTATTGTGTTTTGTAGTACCCTGGCTAGCTTCTAACGTGCTGATTTGACCATTCCTACAGAGCTAATCAATCGTGTTTCAAGCCATCTCCTCTTTCTTGTTATCATGTGGTTCTTGTAACCCTAGCCTCGAGTTTGAAAAGCGGAAAGCAACGATTTGATAGCTAGGCCGGCTAAATGACAACTACTCGATGAATAAATTGCTCAGACCATACGAACAACAAATATTCTGAGCTAATTAACCCACATGGTATGGAGATTGATAAGCTTGGAACGGAAACACTTGTTTGTGAATATTCTACCATCAAATCGCGTCTCTTGTTACGCACTAGCACTGATGCTTCATTGCCTCTCATTAACGATCCTCAAGTCTCGCTACGCTAAATTATATTATCTTTTTGTCGAGTCCTAGATTCCTTACGCAGTATAACCCTTTCGATATTTCTTGGTACAGTCAAAAGCATGGCATACTGCATTCTTGTCCGGACCTTGGTCAAACTAAGCTGAGTGACCGCTGAACTAACCTCTTGTATTAGGTTTAGTCTGGTTGATTATTTCGTTTTAGACGAGTCCGCTGTTTGAGTTGTGTCTGTAATCGCAATGATTTTCTCTTGCAATTTCTTGAGAAGAACAGTAGTAGCTGCCAAGAAAGCTGCCCAAACAACGCACATAACCAATTTCTTGAGGGGAGATGCCAGCGTAAGGCCAGGATACGGGTACCTACACGAGGTGTTATCAGTATTGGTACTGCGAGCGAGGCCGACTCAACCTTACCATCCAACAATCGAAAAACAATATTCGATCCAACCCCAATAAGAAAAGGCGATGGCCAGATCTAAGACAAAAGCCGTGCGTCCATTGATTGGCCATGGCGGGCTCAGAATCAGCAGATCTACCAGCAACATGATAGTCGGGACAGCATGGAGGCCAAGATCATGGCTGAGCGGGAGCTGGTGGCCAGGAGGCGTCAACTTGGTCCTGTCAATGGCATATAAAGTCCAGTAGAATATCGTAATGAGAAGCTCAACAGGCGTGGCGCATAGCGACATGTAGCTCTTAGCTTTGAATAGAGGTTGAACATTGAGCACGTCGGCGAGGAAGCCGATCACAAATGTGATTGTTGATAGGAGGAGTGCGATGATGGTAAGAAACTTATACGGCCCTCCAAACCCCTTGCGCAAAGGGTTTGTGCCCTTCGGAACCTGGGAAAATGACAATGCGAAAAATAGCAAGCCTATGACATGGATGGCTATTGACAACACCCTAGAGGTTGCCACGGGTCTCTGTGAAGCCGACTTCATTGCAAATGAATTGTGCGTGGTGAGAGCAATAGGCGTGGAGTTTAATCCCGGGCGAGGTTCGATGACTGCGGATGGAAAACCTGCGAAACTTAAGGAAGAAGTTTACCCCTGTTAGCCGGATCTGATTTCTCCGGTCAGACCAACCGGCATTGTTTACCGAATAGTAAGCTGATTGCGATTGCACGTGCATCGTGAGTGATAAATCATTGATTTTGCACAGCCCAACAGACAAGTGGGTGGTTGGTCACCTAGCGGGGCTTGTTAGGCAGCCACTATAGCCCTCCGTTGCTGTTCTATTAGGGAGCCTTGAACCGAGTTTCACATGGACATCCATGGGTATCAAGTACACATGAACACCTTGGGCAGTGCCACCTTGCATACATTAACTTCATATTTTTAGGATCTAAAATTCTAAAGGCAATAATAAAAGCTATTAATGTGGCGTGTCATGAGGCTTCAACGAGCTGACGAATTTTCTTGCTAGGCACATATCTAAATTACATGTACCTATGTAAGAGGTGTTGCGTATTGGCTCTGCCTTCACAGCAGGATTCAGGCAGCAAGTCCGTGATGTAACTTGTCCAAGATTTGCATCAACGTAGGGGCTCGGTTAGCAAACGAAGGAATGAAGAGCCCAACCAAGTCGAGACGGACTAATGGATCACTCTTTCTCAATGTAACATTATGCGACATGCTTCCTCCCAGCCTCAGGCAAAATATGCGGCAACTTGTAAGAGGTGACAACAGAAAGCTGCTATCAAATTAGATAGTAGATACTGCTCATCTATATAATCAATCTGTCTTTTACATATTCTCTCAGACTAGCATCTCCCTCTTCGTGCAGTCCTTTGCGGACTTGCATGAGTTTTTTATTTCTACGATAGCTGTCTCACCAGGCTTGTTATCTTCATCATCTCCTCAAGGTACTGAAACATAAGTTATTAATCTCAGTATGAAGGGTGGATAATCAATGCTGGTATATTGAGCTGAAGGGGGGTGTCGATGCCACTTCTTTGATGTAAACTTCGATTTTCTCTTAGCTCATTCGGCTGGGAGGTCACCATAGGCAGATTGTGTTGGCCCGTTCGGGGTCAAGCCTCTTTCTTGAAGTTGGTTCAACGGGTTGGCTGAATATGTTAAGAGAAATTGATGGCGGGTTGAAACCAATAACACCAAATATGCTGGCTCTAAGTATTGTGGAAAGGCATTCGGTCCCTTGAGACCAGTATCTGAAGATTGCTAAGGGAAGAAAGTTCGCGGTGAGGGTTTCGGAGTGGAAGGGAGTAACTCGACTGCGAATATGTTACTTGCGTATGTATCGACCAACACTAGATGGTTGATAAAATCACTGCTTGAAGATGGATGTTTATGTATAGATAGCTCCCCGAAACAAAATCATGGCCACATATGGTTTCGCTTCTCCAACTTGGTCGACCTATACGGCCGTTAATAATTATGGCGTTTATCATTAGCTTATTAGCCGACGACTCTATGAGGGGCCATGCTATTAGGCTACGCAGCAATGAACGACCCAAAGCTAGTCTGCGTTGATTCTTGCAATGATAGGCTGTGTTTCAAAGCTAGAAGGAGGGATAGATCAAACCAGTTTACAATTGTATGGGAACAACTTATTCTTTTGCATATCACACTGCTAGGCTATTTTAGACCTCCGCGGACTTGAGTTGCTTTTCACTTAGCAGTAGTATCACCGGGGGAAGGAAGTCAATGAGCTCTAAGCGCTTAGATTTCTTACTAGGTAAAGGGAGCTACAGCTCAGGCTTGGGTACGGCCAAGTAGAGACTTGGTAAACGACTAATATGGGGAAAACCTTCTGTCAAATATCTCGTATCAAGGCAACCATCCAAGCGTTTCCAATGAGGAAGCTAGTGTTCGACCGTCTTTGGGATCTTCGAAAGCGGGAGAGTTTGATTGAAATAAATCCCTCGTGAACTTTCAAAAGTTCTAGCTGCAAAAGTTCCCCGTTCATACTAATGAACGGCACTTTGTGAGGTTCCCCGCGTTTGGTGGTGCTCCGCTAACTCCGTCCGCCTTGGCTTCGAAATGGCTCAAACCAACGACAATTATCTGTCCGCCCGAAGAATGGTTATATTCACCAAACACGTGGAATCATGTGAAGCACATAGGGCAACAAGAGATGTGTCTGAAATTCTTAGTTGCGGAGGGCATGCATCTGCGCTATCGAAGGATAGTCTTGTCACGGAGCTCAGAAACAAGCTCCCATGAGCCGAGATACCGCCCGGGGAAAGATTGAATTGGACTACGGGACTTCCAGCGCTAATTTCCAAGCTACTCGGTGATATGCCCAACCTCGGAGAAAGGACCCGTCGACGGCTGAATGCAGGAGGACGAATTGTTCTCAGCTCGTTGGTATCCACACTCTGAGCGTTGCATTTGGTGATGGATAGGAACAGGAGAGCTTACGTTGGGGTGTAGTCCAATGCACGGGACGGAAGCGAGTCGAAACTAGCAGGGCAGGGAACAAGGAAGGGTGCATATTTGACAACGGGCGAAACAGTTGCACTGGGAGGAAATTGCACAGCCGCCCCCAAGGATTACATCTCGGGAGCAGATGGGCCATGTGCGATCTGCCCCCTGCCGGCCGCCTCACGCTATTTGACCTCTCTCTCCTTTATAGCGAACTCGTAAATTGCCTAGACGGGGACTTGGCCGAGAGTCGCCGAGTGGTTTTTAGCGCCGAGGCACGCTTTTATCGCTTATGAGCTTGTTCATCCATGCATGCAAGTCATGGCATGGCATCATTGGCATGGGAGAGGGTAGGGTAGGGTTGTTTGCAGGGACGGGAGTTGTTGGCTCGCCAGTTGCAACGTCAGAACACATAATACGCACTGAAAAGGCGGTAGGGATCGGGACAAAGCCAAGTGTGATTTGGTTTTGACTTGTTCGGGTCCAACCATCATGTGATAGGACAGGTAAGCACCCGGAGTGGAGGGAGGAGATAATGGATGGGGCCAGAGACGGGACACAGACCAACCATTCTTATTGCATGCCGCCTACTTGGTCGACATACATATCCAGCATGTAGATATTACTCGCAAGCTATTGCCTATCCACTGTCCGGCTGGATGACGCGAAGCAATTGGGCAGAGCCCTTCCGCGTGCTTGATGAAAAATCTCCTAGTCCACTGGGCAGCAGGGCCAATAGGATGCGGACCCGGCCACTCTAGGAGAGGACACGACAAGGAGGGAAACATGGCGAGGGGAGGGGGGAAACGTGGAAGACGGGGCACGAGGCTGGGGACGTGCCAGGATGCCTCTCCTAGTTGCTGCTCGGCAAAGTCCCTAGCAGGCAATAAATAAGGTAGGTGAGTCGCTTTTCGGTTGAATACAGCGGTGGCCGGATGCACGCAGCACGCTCGCGTCACCTCGACCACCCTGAAGAGACATGGGAGCATCTGGAAGCATGCGAGGCATCAAGAGTCCGTTGGTCGAAGGAATCATGGATACGAGGAGAGGGAAGGGGGCACTGCGTCAAACAGCACAAGGGTGCCTGCTGGGCTCTGCCCTCACGCCCGCCGGCCCTGCTTTGCGTGCCCAGATGTATATGTGCCCATCTGCG